AGCCTACAGATCAGGTAAGTGAGCTATGGGGGGCAGCCTACAGATCAGGTAAGTGAGGGATGGGGGGCAGCCTACAGATCAGGTAAGTGAGGGATGGGGGCAGCCTACAGATCAGTTAAGTGAGGCATTGGGGTAAAGGTAAAGTAGAAGGAGCAGAAATGAGCAGAAAGGTTCTGCAAGGGGCAGGAGGGGTCAGCAAGGAGCAGGAAGGGACAGCAAGAAGCAGGAAGGTGTAGAAAGGGTCTGCAAGGAGCAGGAGGGTAAAGTAGAAGGAGCAGAAATGAACAGGAAGGGGCAGCAAGGTGCAGGAGGGATCAGCAAGAAGCAAGAATGGTCAGCAAAGAGCAGGAGGCATCTGCAAGGGGCAGGTGGGGTCAGCAAGGAGCAGGAGGGGTCAGCACAGAGCAGGAAGGGGCAGCAAGGAGTAGGAAGGGTCTGCAAGGAGCAGGAGTGGTCAGCAAGGAGTAGGAAGGGTCTGCAAGGAGCAGGAGGGGTCAGCAAGAAGTAGGAAGAGGCAGCAAGGAGTAGGAAGGGTCTGCAACAAGCAGGGAGGGGCAGCAAGAAGAAAGAAGAGGCAGCAAGGAGCAGGAAGAGGCAGAAAGAATCAGGAGCACACAGGTAAAGTAGGAGAAGGAACAGAAATGGTCTACATGGAACTAGAAGGAGCTGCAAGAAGCAGGAAGGGGCAGGAAGGTGCCGCAAGAAGCAGGAAGGGGCTGCAAGGAGAAGGAAGGGTCTGCAATGAGCAGAAAGGGGCAGGAAGGGACAGAAGGAGCACAAAGGACTGTGTGTCAAATGAAGGAGAAGAAAATGAGACTGGAGCAGGAAGGACAAGTGCAGTGATCCCTCCACTTCATTCTGGACACCACATCACAAGGCTTTGGTACCTGGGCCTGGCAGGGAAACTTTGGACCTCCTCATCTCCCCAGGTAAAAAAAATATCAGCGTTAATGTGTTCACTTTTATTTACTGAGTGTCAGGAAGCACAGAGTGCCGCTGGGAAGGAGTGTGTCGCTGATTGGCTAGAGCGGTCAGCTGACACTTTAGGCCAATCAGTAGCCCCCCATTCATAAAAAAGTAAAACAGCAATTGGCTTAGAGCGTCAACTGACCACTCTAGCCAATCAGTGGCACCCATGCCTGACATCAATCTGCACTTCCTGACACTCCGTTTCAGAAGCCGAATACTACTAAGCAATCTGGAGATCTGGAGCAGGAGGAAGCCTTTGGGGTTAATCCATTTGAGAGCGGTTTAACCCCTTAAAGGAAAGAGAGGGCCCAGGGGCTTCCTGGCATCATAGCATTTTCATTTAGATGAAGTTGTTATGATGAACAGAATGTTCCTTTAATTTGCTTAAAGGAACACTATAGTGTCAGGAATACAAACCTATATTCCTGACACCATAGTTGTGAAAACACTATTCACCCTGGCTTTATGTGATAATGACTATGCTCCTCCCCTTCATGACACTGTCAAAAAGGGGCCAAGCATGGATATCATTACAATTATGCCTCCCACCCACCCCCCCTGGAAAAATTCCTGCGGACGCCAATGCCAACATTGTCCTATTGGTCAAGTTAAAATAAGACGATCAAATCATATTTCAGAATTTCACTAATTAATAGTAGTTTAGAACGGATATTAGATTCATGAAGACCATCTTTTTTTATTGCTCAACAGTGCAACAGCAGAAGACAAGGTATTTGGCCATGTGTGTCTTTTCCCTGACAGTCACCACTTTCTAGATAGGCCCGCAGTGTATATATACAGTACTGTTTGTTATTGGCTTATGATACATGTATAAATCAGTGACTATGCTGTCCTTTGAAAATAAACATCAAATAAAAGGACTCAAAACACATTTCTTTCAACATCTCTCAGTAATTAGAGTAATCATAAAGCACAAGTAAACAATGGTGTATTCATTAAATTCAGCAGGCAAAGATCCAAATACACATTTTTTTATGATTTATATTATTTTCCCTTTAAGGGAGTCTCAGAAAATAAAGATGCCAATGTGTTTGGCTTTCTGATTAATGATGACAGTGTAGTCACATCCTAATAAGCAGAGATATGTGGAAAGAATCATTGTTTGACTGTTGACATAAACAACACTAATTGATATTACACATCTGACAGAGCTAGTACTGCTCTCTCGGTCCCTAAAAGACTTGAATATATCATATTATTTTATGGGACTCTAGGATAGGGCTTTATTATTTGTCAGAGATGCTAAACCGGCAAGTCTTAAGTTGGCTATACTTGCGATTAAAGGGAGCTCTATGTCTACAAACACCCATTTAATATGTCCCATGATTTTAATATTATATTTGTATATCCCCTATATTAAACACCTAGGTATTTGTGAGGTGTGAAAAATAAAATGATATGTAGAAATCCACACCTCTGTATCCTGCACCTGGCTGCCTCCATCATTGCTGAGCTCTATTCTTGGCATCTGGCGTTCATTACAGAATAGGCTTTGCCTTGTGGCAACTGAATTGTGATGTTGTTTGTTAAATGTTTAATATAAATTTGTTAGAATTGGAGTATCTCATGACAAGGTTTTCACTAGTTAGATTTTCAGCGGTTTATTCATTGGTGTACATTTCAGATACGTTACAGTTCACCTTTAAATAGTTGATGTAAATAATATATGCATTTATATTTCCTTAACATTTTAGAACTGGCCTCTGCAACTAGCAAAAACCCACTGCCTTTTTGAACAGCAACAGCAAGTTCTGGGCATTATCCAATCAAATGGTTCTAATGGAGAAACACTGAGTACAAATCTCCAGTCCAAAGCATCTCATACAGTTGGGTGTATTTATGAGTTCCTGGACATTCCTGGAAATGACACCATTGCATACCTCCAATCAGGATGGGGGGAGACAAGCTTTCCAAGGGGGCGTTATCAGTGACACAAATTGAGTCATTGATGCCAGAAAAAAGGCAGGTCTACCCACTGCAGCAGCATGTGAGACTGACGTCAAGCACGTCAGGTTCACAGACAGCCTCCTGGCCAGTCCC